TGATCAGATACTATGTACATTTATTAATGTTTTCTGAAAACAGAAGTAGTGAGGATGAAAAGAGAATGAGAAAGGAACAGAGGGGTGGACGAGGGAAAAGAGATTATATAAAGTGAGGTTGAAATGCAAGAGGAGGTGATGTTGAGTGAACTTTTTCAAAAACAAGCTTCTGTCTGTTTCTGGGTTGTATGTCCACTTCCTCTGCTCTTTTGGTTTCCGCTGCTTCCTGGGTACAGCAGGGTACAGCATGTGCCAAGGAAAGCCTCAGGCTCTTCATGAAATATGTATGCTTGCCGAGAGGAGACGAGGAAAGTTACATGGAAAATTAAGAGGACCAAACAAGGAAGGAGGCTGGGGCTGGCCCAGAATGACAGCTATTATACAAAACTTTTCCAAAAGATGACGCCTGACCTAAGCAGTGAAACTCTTGCGTAAACATTCCCAGTAGAAATCAAGCAAACACTGCAGAAATAGATTTGAAGAGATGAGGATTTTTTTTTTTTTGTTCAGCTTCAAGAGGATATCTGAGTTCTTGTGATAAAGCTGAATGTTTAAAACAGAAATTGGAGCTTTTTTTTCCCCTGATAATATTGCTATGGCCAGCATGAAGCTTTCTGATATCCCCTGTGTAGCCCAAAAAAGAGCAGAGTAAGGGCGGAGAGAGGTTTGTCATTTTTATATCCTGCACAGCAGAAACCAGACCAGTGTTTGCTTACAGTTTCCAGTTTGAGAGTCTTGGGTATCATGAAAGCAAATGTTTGCCAGACTATAAGTTTACATGCAAAACATGAGGTGGAAAACAGCAGCCCTAGAGTGCCCAGCTCAGACAGCTGGTGTAATTACAGCAGGGTCCGGTGGACGTTCGGTCCACAAAGTCCAACAGATTCCATTACCCACAAACATACAGGCACACTTGCAAACACTGCATTGGATGCTGAAGACGGGGCCACTGTCAGCTTGATGGTTTGACAGAGAAGAATAAGTCCTCTTGGAATTTGCAAAGAGATGGCCGTTCAGGTTCAGATAATACCAAGTGTTTTGTTCTATGCTTCTCACAGGTTTATTGTTGTCAGTAGTGAAATTGGCTGCAAATAGCATGTATACTATCAAGATCTAATATATCTCTCACTAAATCACACACTGATGACATTTCTTAGGAATGTTTACTGAATGGTACAGTAAACCCTGGTGTTAAAATGTCAGCCTTTAATTGTTCTCCAATTATTCAATTCAATTATATTTGTATAGTGACAAATCACTTATATAGAGAGGTGTCTCTTTATTTTTGTCCTCCCCGGCTACATACATGAGAAGGTCAGAATATTAGGAACACCTAAGAATATAATGTAAAGTCCAGTACAACACCATCTTTAACTAGGACCTCAATAATAAACACGTAATTGAATTTATACATTTATGACAGTTTTGCCAAAAACTGAAAAATCTTTAGCTTCATAAAAACAGATGTTAAGGCGGAAGTGTTGCACTGAAGTGCATACAATGGTATAGGTGTACCTAATAGAGTGGCCTGTGAGTGTATGTGTAAAGTCAGTGGAGTCCACCTTTAAGAATTTCTTCATTTAAAAAATGACAAAAAACACACTTTATGAGCAGTTAATAAATACTTTTATTAGTTGTTACAGAAAACATCTATGAATGCAGCTTTTGCTCTGCCCTGAAAAAGCTTGAGTTTATCTCTCTCCACACAATAGATGATACCATTGAAGGAAAACACTAGTGATTTATTTATTTATTATTGGGGTATTTTTCTGAAATCCCATGCAGAGACTAAAACCAGCGGTGAATTTTGTGTATTCACTGTGAAATCTGTGAATCGAGAACCTTTGGCTTATTTGTGTGCACCATAAATCTCTACCGCTGTGTGAAAACTATTCCATAACAGCACTAAATGCTAGCGTAATGTACAAACCATGTTAGTTCTAGTCTCTGTATAGGATTTGTGGAAAATGACAATAAGTAAAAGTAATAGACTTATCTTTTTACCATAAAATCAGTTATTAAGAACTTATTATTTACTATTGCAGATTACTTCTATCAATCAATCAGTCAATCAATCAAATTTTATTTGTATAGCGCCAAATCACAACAAAAGTCATCTCAGGACACTTTACAAAGTAAGGTCTAGACCTTACTGTTATCACTATTATTCCAAGTGGTCTGAGTCATCCCTCTGAGTTCCTGGTTTGAAAGAACCGGACGTGGCTTTATAATAGAATAAAGCCTTTATTAGTAATGTGTAATGGTGGCATATAGAAGCATAGGGAGAGAGAGGAGAGGAGAGGAGAGCAGAGCAGAGCAGGAGGGGAGGGTAGAGAAACTCAGAGCATCATGGGGCCCCCCAGCAGCCTAGGCCTATAGCAGCATAACTAAGGGAAGGCGCAGGGTCACCTGATCCAGCCCTAACTATAAGCTTTATCAAAAAGGAACGTCTTAAGTCTAATCTTAAAGGTAGGGAGGGTGTCCACCTCCCGAACTGAGATTGGGAGTTGGTTCCATAGGAGAGGTACAGAACAGAATCATATCCACTGACACCTAAAACATGCTAAAAACAAAGTCTTCATTCTTTAGCAACATCAGCTCCACAGACAGCCTGCCGGATGACCTCAACACCTTCTACACCCACTGTGAGACCTCCAGCTACAGCACAGAGAGGAGGCACACACACGCCGAGACCACCCAGCCCCCCACCTCCCCTCCACTGACTGTCTCGCCAGGCCAGGTATGCCCAGTCCTGAGGAAGATCAACCCCTGC